ATAAGTTTTATGGGTTTACGATTCAAGAAATTGGCATCATATCGACGTATATTTACTAATTAATTTACTCAAATTCTATTTTACATTAAAAATAATTTTTGATGACTTATTTTTATTTATGAATTATCCTTTAATATTAATGGTATTTTGCTATAATATTATTTTTAGTACTAAATGCTTGAATAATGAATTCAAATCATTTCTAAATGCCTTATGTTCTCATATAATACTAATAAATTTAGTATATATCAAAATTGTAAATGAGCTTAAAAATCATTTCATATTAGTATAATGCGCAAGTAACTAAATATTTGAAATCGTTATTTTCAAGCGATCAGATTATCATCAGAAATTAAAGCAATGATTATCATCTCAAAAATAGAGTCATGATTACATCACCTCATTCCATTAGGACCAGTTTGGTATAATTTTGTTATTCTATTATAATTTATCATATTACTTATACTATTTTAGTATCATATTAGTATTTTCGATCAAAATTTGTGTCATAAGTAAACTTAAATGGTTTCAGGCAAGGATGCGTCCATTAATCATGTAATAGACTTTTTAAGGATTTTTGGACCTCTTTTTCTCTTGATGATACGTGGTAATATTTAAAATTACTCCCCCTCCCTCACCAAACATTAGGTGTATTTTTAGTTACGAGTAAAAATTTTAATTTTTTTGAATTTTTTTTGAAAATGTCTGGATTTTTTTAAAAATCTCAGGTAAAAAATAAATACACGTGATATTTCACTGTACCCCTCCCTCTCCACGGAATATTTTGTGATTTTTCGTCAACTCCCCTTTTTCTTAAAATCCTCAAGTGATTAATGGACGCCCCTTAATCTACGTTTTAGAGAGAAATGATCAATATTTTTTGCAGTTCATCAATAGGATAAATTTACGAACAGAAAATATTAATGAACCAAACCATTCAGTATTTACAATATTTAAAAATTTATAATATTTTTTTTAAATGGTTGCTTTTTTATTTGAATCATTCAGTAAAATAAAATCAAGTTTTGAGATTTTGATATTCATTATGGATAAAATAATATATTTTTATGTAATTGAATTTCTCACAATTAATTGAAGAAACCAAACTATAATAAATATATCATTCTATAATATCAATTTTACCATGAAAGTTATCTGATGACACAATGCCAAATTTAAAAACATAGATTTTAACTCTTTTTGAAGGCAATTTTTCGTTATTTACTTCATCGTTGGTTATGATATTATTTTTTAAATCAACGAATTGCTACTATTAGATTATATGTTAAGAAAGTTGATTATTTTATTATAAATAGAATAATGATTTTATTACAAACTGGAGACGTAGCTTTGAATCATTATCGAAACAAAAATATTATATCGGGAGGGCAGGCGATATACAATCAGAACAAAATATCTGAAAATCTCACATCTGTATGTATATGCATAAAATTCATCTATGAAAACGTACATTATTTTTGTAAATATATTAATCCGAAGCTAAGGCAGCTTTTTGATCAATATTAAATTGAACCAAGGCAAATTTTAAAAGCTTTAATTTACATATGCACCGCAAATAAAATTTTGAATTCTATATATAAAGCAAATCATAATATTCACAGTATATAAAATATATCTTCGCATAAGCACAATAACTATTAATATTAAACAATTTTTTGAACCGGGCTGTTTATGGATAGAATATATGGATGTGGATAAAGAGTGTTAAATATTATTTTAAATAAACAAGTCAACACCAGTTACCAAACAAAAAAGCGAATTATTTAATCAACTGATTCAGATTAAATTATTACATGTTCCACATAGAGTTGGGCGAAGCTCTTCAAATAAATATTATATATTAATTAATTAAAAACATCTATGTATATAATAGCTTATCTAAAATGTTAAATTGATGAAAAAGCGGTCTTAGCTATTCTATTGCATAAATTGTTTGTATCATAAACAGCCGACGATCACTAGTCAATGGAACCACTTTTCTCTAGTAAAATAAATAAAATTAATTAATATTATATTTATCTTTATTATTTTTTTAGAACGTAAGCTCTTTTTATAATGTAGGAGATTATAAAAAAATATGTGTGATGATTTAAGTTGGTAATTAGCTAGCTTTCTATAAAACCCAGTAAACCACAAACGTTCAATTAAGTTGAAATAACGTAGCACCTAAGTCGTTGATGGTGATGGTTACGTTATTAAAACGTAAATTTTACGTATAGATGTAACCTTTAATCAGCCTCAACGTAGATACTTCGAACTGTCGAAGAACTTTTGTAGATGGATTTGTTTGTTTGAACCAATAGGGAGAGACAGTATTTGGTCTTGTGATTTATAATATTTGATAATCTAGCAAGCCAAAACAAATCACACTCATAAATCGACCAATCTAAAACAAATCACACTTAAAAATCAAGCATGCTATGTAGCCAGCCCAGAAAACAAAGAAGTCGATGATATGCAAGCGCCACAAAAATAGCGCACGTTCTGATATCAAAATTTTGATTGCTAGAAATAAATGGAAATCAAAACGACGTCATTTTGTCTATTTGATAACCAACCTGGCAGCCAGCCGACCAAAAAGCAGCAAAACAAGCGTCGTGTGAACAGGCCTTTAAATAATATGTGCTTGCATTATATAAGATTTTTTTTTCAAATTATTAGGGCAATTTATTTAGAGGTATTAATTATTTCTTTATAATCGTAATGATTCTAGTCCATTTACATGATCGTCGGCTAATGATAAGTTAAAACATTTACCCACACACACCAGTATGTGCCAAAGAAATTAATACTTTAAGTGGACGAAAAACTATCGACCTATGGTACCTTTTAATAAAAAAACTTATAAATATGTGTAAATTAAAGTGATGTGCAGATATAATGTAATCAAACTGAATATTTAAGTAATCTATATAAATATTAATATAATGTTAAGTACACTATGAAGCTGATCTGAAACAAAACTGCGTTTTCACTTATGAATATCGTATTTCTACGATTTAATTTAACAATGAAAACGTTGTTAAGTATAAGATCGGCAAAAATTGTTATATTGTTTGTTATTGATCGTTATTGAAAGAAAATCCATTTCTTGGATTTTCTTTGTACGTATTATATATACATGCTTACATATTATGGCATTTGTAATATTGTGTCGCTTGAAATATTTTGATAGTGATGTTATTTAAAAATATTTTTTTTAACTTCTATTTTTTTCAAAATTACTGGTATTGTATTTGAGAATTGATAGTATTTGTCCTAATGCCATTTCTATATATAGAAAGACATATTTTTTATTTCATGTAGTTTAAATTTTGTATCTTGTTTTTTTTTAATACCGTACTGCAAAAAAACTTTACCAAAAAATCTCTGATATGCTCTCAAAATTAGTCATATGATATATTACTGAAGGTTTAAATATGAATATCCAATATTAGCAAATAATTTGTGTTCAAAATGCAACAAAACTAATCAAAATATGTTCTAATTTAAATTTTATCGTTTGGACTACTATGAAAATATACGATTTGCAGTGTTGTTTTCAAAATAGACTTCGAGCTTAATTTTAAAATTAAAGTTGATTTCTTATTGTGAACATTTCACAGAAATCAAATAATAGTAATCTCTATAAAGCTTCTTTTGATTATGTTTTAATGTTCGAAAGCAAATAATTATGAAGAATAGTATTGATAAATATTCAATATATACTTTAATTTTACTTAGAATTGAGTTATTGAAAATATTGAATTATGAGGCATTTTTTTACATCAAATAAGATCACTGTCAAATTATGTATTAAAATAATTAATGTAAATAAATTATACAATTGTATTATTATTTGTTGAAATACTTCAATCAAAAGCATTGATATGATATTTAAAAACAAAAACATGCTGTTGTGGATACTACAAAACAAATAATATATGAAAGTTAAAATTTAATAATAACTCGTATTTTCATTATTTGTTCTTGAACAAAATTCTCTTTTAAAAAGATATAGAAGTGTAGTCGTTGTCGTTTTCATAAAATATAACTCTTTTCAATTCATTTTCGATATATAGGCTATATACAAATTGTGTTAAAAATATTTTATATTATATAAAATATCATGTTTTGACTCCTTCCAAAATATTAAACAACATTTTTACCTAAGTTCTTCGGTTTCCATTAATTCATTGGATGCAATTTTGAATTTGGCATTGAATTCATATACTGTTTATATACTATTCGACATTTCAAGAACTTGAAATTTCGAAAAGTATATAAGCAGTATGGCATTAAATTTAGAAAGTAAAATCAGAAAGTTTACGAAAAATTAATTTCTCAAAAACGGCTACACCGATTAGTTTTGTTAAACTAATCGTAGCATGTTGATGATAGTGCTACGATTGTCCTAGCCGTTACTTTAGAATTAAATGATAATATCAAAATTTTTTGTCTACGTTGTCAACCAAAATACCTGAATCAATTTTATAAATTCAGAAATTGTTCTGAAAATATTAATTAGCAATCATGCTGATTAGTTTGAAGTAAGAATTACTAATTTATTATTGACAAAAAAATTATGATTTTCTTGAAACTTTATCGTAATAGAGTTGGTGGCATCCTAAAATATCAGAAGTCTACAAGAAGTGGTTTATCTAGCTTTAATTTATAAAAGTTTGGAATAAAAGTAATTTTCTTTTAATTTATTAATATTTTACAAATTTGTTTCATCGATATAAAATCAATTGGAAATTCGAGTAATTAGTTTGAAGTGAAAATGAAAGTCGATTTAAGCTTCATTTATATATCAAGTAAGGTCAATAATTAATCGAAAAACTATAAATTTCTAAAATAAACTAATAAAAACAGTCGATCTTAAATTTGAGACGTCTACTAGCATATACTCTTCTTTTATCTATGTATAGTAGGGAGTTAGTTCGCTGTCCGTCCGCCATGAGCGCTCAAACCGTATCAGATGACAGTTTAATGGACTCGCCCTTTATGTCTATGTACATCTATATTATAGACTCTGTGTTTTTTTATGTAGTGACGAAATCGATACAAGTTTAGTTGATTTACCTGGAATCTGGCTTATTGACGTTAGTATAACCTCGTTTCTAATTCATACTGAATTTCTCAATTTATCAGTATAATTAAAGATATTGTTCATCTGCTTTCCAGGTGTACGTCTTCAGATCTGTAAGTAAAAATATTTTACAAGCCGTCCGAGTTCATTGTGTTCATTCGAGCTGTGTTAGCATTGCACTTCAATTCCTCAAGTTTCATACATAATTCAAAATGGCTCGTACTAAGCAAACTGCTCGTAAGTCAACCGGAGGAAAAGCTCCACGAAAACAATTAGCCACAAAGGCTGCGCGTAAAAGTGCTCCATCCACTGGAGGCGTCAAGAAACCCCATCGTTATCGTCCAGGTACTGTCGCCCTTCGTGAAATCCGTCGTTATCAGAAATCTACTGAATTGTTGATCCGTAAATTACCTTTCCAACGGTTGGTGAGAGAAATTGCCCAGGATTTCAAGACAGATTTGCGTTTTCAATCAGCTGCTATTGGCGCTCTGCAGGAAGCCAGTGAAGCTTACCTCGTAGGCTTGTTTGAAGACACCAATTTGTGTGCCATTCATGCTAAGAGGGTAACTATTATGCCTAAGGATATCCAGTTGGCTCGGCGAATCCGTGGTGAACGTGCTTAAAATTTTATTTGCATAATAACCACATATTTCATATACATAACATTTAAACTTGTATCTTACTATATATTATTGTTAGGAATTCATGGCATTTATGTGTAATCATTCACCTTTTAAAACATCTTTACACTGTAGGACGTGGTCTGAATGTTGTCATTTGAATAAGAAATATTAGACTTAATTATATTTTTAATTTTATATCCATACTTAGTAATTTTGAGAACCGACTATGTATTACATTTTTTTATAGTTGTGTTATCAATAATCATTTCAAAATTAGAAAAGTTACATTTAAACTAGTATATTAAAAAACTTATTGTATTCATTTACTTTATTGTACTAATCATTGAACAAAATAAATTTTATCGTGTATATTATTTTTTTAACAACTTATATATTACATTTTATTGAAGTTAATACAAAAATAACTGAGTTTTCACAAATAGTATTAAACAGCTTAATTAAATACTTATTATACACCACGTTTGTTGAAAATTTTGCATTCAATACAGACTAAAAATTTAATTTATTTGAGATAATTGTATGCAGTCTATTAATTTTGAAATAATTGTTTCAAAGTTGTGTATGATCTATCAAATTTACTTCTATTGAACCTGGGTATATAATCAGATCTGTTATTCATATATATTGCCATTAACCTTTCTTTTACAGCTCTCATTTAAATTTATTTTTCTTGCTTATACAAATATCATAGAGAATATTGACTGTTTAATGAGGGTTTAATAAATAAACATCATTAAAATACCATTTTCAAATGACATTAATAAATATAAGTTTATGTCTCGAGATAAACATGCACAACGTGTGTAATCTTTGAGAAGAGGTATATATGGTTGCTTTATTTTAATTTTTTGACTTTCAAAGTAGATCAGTTATCAGTTAGTAGACTATAGGGGGGTTCTACGCGACGAACACCCCTGGATCGCCCCGGTTGAAAAACTGGGTGCATCACATGGAGGGTCAGTGTACGAGTCCCAGGAGCACCCTCGGGTGCGATGAAGGTGTGGTGAAATGAGGAAAATGGTGTGGGAAGGGAGAGAGAGTTGTCTTGAGTTCAATTTGAGCAAATACACCAAGGAACAAGTGAAATTGCTGAATATTATACATGGGCTGACGAAAAGGTAAGATTATAAAAGATTAATATGGTAGATTTAAGGTGTGTTTGAAAATTTGGTTTTGTGGGCCTGGCATGTTTTTGTTGTTTGTGCCAGGGTGTTGAAACTTCAGTATTTGTTTGTTGATACGTTAATTAAATTAAAAAAAATATAAACTCGGATATTTTTCTAATAAAGTTAGCAAAAAATCAGCTACTTACTACACAAGTAGCGCGAGGCATGTTTGTACTCAAGTTTAACTGACTTTTGGGCCAATTTTGAAAGTTTGTTGAAATTTATAAATTTTGAGTTAGTTGTTATTCTTTAATATATACTGTACATGAAAAATATAAAATTGCATACAGTTTTAACAAAATTACCTAGAAATTAGCAATTTGTATTTGTGAAGCACGTGCACTATTGCTTTCGTCTTCCAGGCTCTAATATGCGTAAAGTACCATTCTTAATATTTTGTCGTGTCTATACAATTAATACTTAAGGTACATAAAATTTACCTGGTTATTCCTTAGTATATGTATTAAATTTAAAAAATACAAACAAGGATTTGTTGCTAGTAAAATCGGAATTTACTATAGTACCGCGCTCACATGCACCTTGCAATATTATTCCTAATTCATACACAAGAATTCATGAAGTATTTACAATTTATTTATAAACAAAATATATTTGTTTATATTATTATAAACAAATTCTATTTTAAGTATTTTAAAATGCATAATATACAAATTTTGTCCTGAAAGTGAATGTGAAAGTAATTTATATAATATGATAATCAAAATTCACTAATTTATACATTTCTTGGTTTTTGTTTAGATTTTTTGTTTGAAGTTCTACTTAAATATATGTATATACAACACTCAGATTTTTAACACACACTTTATTCAATAATTACAGATGTTTTGAGACTATGGTATGCCTCATATTCATTGTAATTTCAAAAACAGTTACTTATATACTACACATTTTTTAATATTTTATTTAATTACATTTAATTTTTGATATACAAAAAAACACCAACTAATCTTTGCAATGCTTGACTCAGTAATGAAAAACGTCTGTAATTATCAAAGTGTTGTTTTGTTCATATTTAACATTTAATATTCGTTCCACTCTTATCACAAAATTATATATATATATATATATATATATATTTGATTTATATAATATATATATATATATATATATTTATATTAATACATATTTATTTTTTTCCAGTCTCCCAAAACAGTTTACTTCTTAAGTAAAATATCACCAGACATCAGCTCGGTCATCAACAGTACATGGCCATATCCAATTTATTCATCGGAACCAAATTTAAGAGCAGTTGCATGTTTCACCAAAGTAAATCATAATATATATAACAATTAATTAATAATTAATATTGAATAATATTAATATGAACTATAAATATTAACTATTTGTTAGATAAATAAGGATTTACTACGACCACTCACATATAGAAAAAAAAACTCTGATCATTGTAAGCGATTTCCAGTTTTATGTCACAGCGATCGATACTCAGAGTTTGACTGGAACTGTGATGTATCATTTTACATATAAGTGATAATAATAATAAATTTATATATATATATATATATTTATTTCTTTTGAAGGTAATGATCATGATTATTTATACACTGGAAAATTGTGCATAACGTCCAATATTTTAAACAGTTCATACATCAAAGATTTAGGGGAGAAAGAACAGATTGATACTTTAATTTGTGACAGTTCTATTATTGATGTTCCTGTTGATTTTAATGTGCAAAATGCTGCTGATAAGATTGAAAGTATCATCAGGTACAAAATAAAATTTAGTGAAAATTAATTAGAATTGTGGTCTTGAATCTTATTAGCTACTAAAATTTGGTATAATTTTTAACTGCTTTTAACTGCGAAATTGTGTCTGTCCACATTTTATCAAACAACTTGAAAATTTTGTTCTAGACACTTTAATTTATTTATATTAGTAAACAATAGATAAAATTTACTAAATTTTAGTAAAAACTTTTATATACACTTGAAAATAAATAGATATTTTTATCACATTTAAAAAAAAACAATTACAACTATACAGTGTGTTATAATATATCATTATAATAACATAAGGCATTTCGTTATTTTAAAACATGAAGGGATATTCTTAAATACATTGATAAAATAAATTAATGAGAATTGATTTAAATATTTATTTGAATTTATTATAATTTTTTTATTTATTTATGAAAAACTTGTTTGATATAAATATATACTATTGATATTAAACACTAAAATTTGATATACTTGGATATACTTTGATATACTGATGATTACTTGTAACAATTTAAGTAGTTTCAAATTGTATAAAAAAGTACCTCAAAATGCTATTTGATACATAAATAAAAAATATCTTCGTAATTTAATACTAATGTTAGTAACAAATTATTTAAAAGTCTCAACTGTATAAAAAAAACGAATAATTGACTGACTGATTGATTTAATATGATAAATTAATTAAGAAATGCTTAAATATTGAATTATTCATTTTATCCATACATTCTTTTCAATATTTACAATTTTGTATTTTACAAGTATTTATTCTTATATATTGTATAAGAAATAGTCAAAGATGAAATAAATATCCAAATATATTGAAAATATAAACTGAAATGTTTCTAACAAATTTGTAATTAAAATTTTGATTTTAGGAATTATTCAAACATGAAAATAGTTATTAGCATGGATACTTTTGGAATGGAAGATTTGCTATTTGAAATAGCCTGTCGAGGATACTCTGTATACACTGGGTGTTCCAGAAATGCTTTTTTGAGAATCCAAAATGCTGATTCATATTTTACAACTTCTAGAGATGCTGTTTTAAGAGTTGTCAATAAAGCATTTTGTGTGAACATCGATGATTGTTACAGGTAATAGAAATATGAATAATATTATATATATATATATATATATATATATATATATATATATGTATGTATGTATGTATGTATTAGGGTGGTCCTTAATATGGACAATTTCGAATTTCTTTTCTCCCAAGGGGTCAAATGCTTCTAAATTAATTTTAACAAAATCTTTCGTCATGTTTTTGTTCCAAAAGTTGAAAATCGTTATATGCAATTATGTAGAGAGTTTTATAAGCTTTTTAATGATATAAAGCAAAATTTATGTGCTGTAACAAGTTTTTCCACATTTTAAACAGATGTCACAAAATGTATAAAGCATTTGAGTTATACGAGTTCAAAGTTTGACGACTTTTTCCGTCATGTTTTTGTTCCAAAAGTTGAAAATCGTTATATGCAGTTATGTAGAGAATTTTATAAGCTTTTCATACATGTAAAATAAAATGTATGCGCTTGAACAAGTTTTTGCACAATTTAAATAAATGTCGAAAAATGTGCTTGCAAATCAATTCTTGTCGATTAAGCTGAACCACCATTCTGGAATTATATAATAAATTAATACACAAAAGTACTCTTCATTTAGTAATTGTGATACTTACGTTTATATGTTCAATATCTTTTTCGGAAAATTTCTCTCGTGGACCTCCTAAAATGAATATTTTTGCTCTTGTTAAATTTCTCTCGTTCATTTCGTCCTTGTTACTGAGGAAATAAATTTCATACATTAATTCGCGAGTATATTAACAAATTTGTAGAATGCTGTTCTGCGACCAATAACAATGCTCGAAAATTGGCTAATTAATTTCGTTTGTTTTCGTTTCCTTTCGTTTCCTTTCGCCCTTTTCGCGTAGGTTATAAATAGGAGTGCGCAAAGGAATACGTGGCAGTCGTCGGCCGCGGCCGGCGCCAGCGTCACCTAGGGTGGCGCTGAAAGCCCCCGGGGCGCCAGACCGGCAGCTCCCTTTGGAGCTGGAGTGGTCAGGAACCCCGGGGCATCCGCCGGAGACTCCCGGCCGCGGAGACTCCGAGCCACGGAGAATCCGAGGCACGAAGACTTCGTGCCACGGAGACTTCGTGCCTCGGAGACTCCGAGGCACGGAATCTTCTTGGCTCGGAGTCTCCGTGCCACGGAATCTCCGTGGTACGGAGTCCCCGTGGCACGAAGTCTCCGTGCCACGGAGACTTCGGGTCACGGAGATTCCGTGCCACGGAGACTCCGTGCCTCGGGGACTCCGTGTCACGGAGACTTCGGGCCACGGGGACTCCGTGCCACGGGGACTTCGTGCCTCGGGGACTCCGTGCCACGGAGACTTCGGGTCACGGGGACTTCGTGCCCGTGAATCTCCGTGGTACGGAGTCCCTGTGGCACGGAGACTTCGTGCGTCGGGGACTCCGTGCCACGGAGTCTCCGTGGCACGGAGAATAAAATCTAATTTCGACACCATAAAAATACAATTTGAATCGACTTCGCCGCAGTCCCGCAGTTTCCGTGGCCCGGGGTCTCCATGGCACGGTGTCTCCGAGGCTCGAAGTCCCCGTGTCTCGGAGTCTCCGAGGCACGGAGTTTCCGTGACCCGAAGTCTCCGTGACACGGAGTCCCCGAGACACGGAATCTCCGTGACCCGAAGTCTCCGTGGCACGGAGTCCCCGAGGCACGAAGTCTCCGTGGCACGGAATCTCCGTGACCCGAAGTCTCCGTGGCACGGAGTCCCCGAGGCACGAAGTCTCCGTGGCACGGAGACTCCGAGCCAAGAAGATTCCGTGCCTCGGAGTCTCCGAGGCACGAAGTCTCCGTGGCACGAAGTCTCCGTGGCACGAAGTCTTCGTGCCTCGGATTCTCCGTGGCTCGGAGTCTCCGTGGCTCGGAGTCTCCGTGGCTCGGAGTCTCCGCAGCCGGGAGTCTCCGGCGGATGCCCCGGGGTTCCTGACCACTCCAGCTCCAAAGGGAGCTGCCGGTCTGGCGCCCCGGGGGCTTTCAGCGCCACCCTAGGTGACGCTGGCGCCGGCCGCGGCCGACGACTGCCACGAATTCCTTCGCGCACTCCTATTTATAACCTACGCGAAAGGGGCGAAAGGAAACGAAAAAAAACGAACGAACAATATTAACTAATAACATACGTCATTTTCGAGCATTGTGATTGGTCGCAGAACAACATTCTATAAATTTGTTAATATACTCGCGAATTAATGTATAAAATTTATCTCCTCAGTAACAAGGACGAAATATACGAGAGAAGTTTATCAGCAGCAAAAATATGTATTTTACGAGGTCCCCGAGAGAAATTTTCCGAAAAAGAAATTGAACACATAAAAGTAAATATTACAATCACTAAATAAATACTTTTGTGTATTAATTTATTATCCAATTCCAGAATTATATCAACAATGGTGGTTCAGCTTAATCGATAAAAATTGATTTGCGAGCATATTTTTCGACATTTATTTAAATTGTGCAAAAACTTGTTCAAGCACATACATTTTATTTTACATGTATGAAAAGCTTATAAAATTCTCTACATAACTGCATATAACGATTTTCAACTTTTGGAACAAAAACATGACGGAAAAAGTCGTCAAAAGTTTAATAAAATTGCAAACATTAATGAAAATGGTTATACATTTTCTCACATTTGTTTGAATTGCGCAAAAACTTGTCAAAACACATAAATTTTATATTATATAGATAAAAAGCTTATAAAATTCTCTATATAAGTGCATATAACGATTTTCAACTTTTGGAATGAAAATATTACGAAAAAAATCATCAAACTTTGAATTCGTATAACTCAGCAAACAAATGTTTTATACATTTTGTGGCATCTGTTTAAAATGTGCAAAAACTTATTAAAACACATTAATTGTGTTTTATATGAATGAAACGTTTATAAAATTCTCTACATAACTGTATATAACGATTTTCAACTTTTGGAACAAAAACATGACGAAAAAAGTCGTCAAACTTTAATAAAATGGCAATCATAAATGAAAATGGTTATACATTTTCTCACATTTGTTTGAATTGCGCAAAAACTTGTTACAGCACATAAACTTTGTTTTATAAAGATAAAAAGCTCATACAATTCTCTACACAACTGCATTTACCAATTTTCAACTTTTAGAACAAATACATATATGGGTCACCCTAATATATATATATATATATATATATATATATATATATATATATATAAACAATGTGATTTTATTTGTTTCAGGCGTTATATGAATAAAAACATAATAACAATAATACCATCAGCAATGTATTCTGTTAAAGAAATGTTGGACTTGAGAAAAGTTGGTGTACACATTGTTAACTATGAAGATCGGTCAACTGCACAAGCTTTGTAACATTTGATCAAATTGGTTAAACCGATTCGTCTAAAAAGTTCTACCAAAGGTGAAAGTTTTAAATTGAAAACTTATGGACGGTTATGTAGAAGACCAAAAGTATTCCCAAGACTGTCTGAGACTTCAATACATTGTAATGATGATCAGAAGGAGTTACAAAGTGATGTTTTGTTAAATGAAATTGCTGAAGAGAAAACTCAATTGCTGAACCAGTTAAGCAAGAAGATGTCAAAGTACCAGGCGTCCTGGTAAAAATCAGCAGCTCGAGCGATCTTAATTTAGATTCCCTTACATCATACTTCAACCACCAACAACCTGGTCCAAACGATCCCTACATATCACTATCAAATGATATTCTTTTAAAAAGTAAACCTGAAGAAGTTCTTTCTAATCGTCAAAAGATGGTAAAAGCCAACAACAAAAAGGCTGCAGATAGTTTAGCAGCTTTAGCAATTGCAGCTTTGGAGCCTTTTCAAAAAATGCATTTGTTTACGAAGCATAAATTGCAATTCATGGATGATAATTTTATTGATCCTGTAGAGATGAGTAAAAATTTATACAGGTTTCATATACAGCACCATTTGGATTGTATAAAAAAATTGAAGGAAGAGATGGGTAAAATTGGCGGTAAGAGGACAAGAACTGGGTAGTAGATATATGTTTATTTATTTATTTATTTATTGAGATTGTAAAAAAGTGTTTGAAAGATTTTTATTATATTGTAGTATACAGTGCAAATATTTTATATATGTATAAATTTTATATATTTTATATGTGCAGTAATATAAAAATATTGATGAAAGTAATAAAGAATAATTACAACATTATTAATGATGCTGAAGGGTTTTTAAATTAAATTAAATTTATTTATAATATATATATATATATATATATATAGATGTATATTTTTAAAAATAGAATACACACAAATATTGAAAATTATTTATTGGTTTTATTATTATTATAACAACTATGTTACCAGTCTATAAATATATATTTTATAACCTATGTTTAATTTTTGGGTAAGAATTATTAAAATAAATTATTCAGTCTGTGCTGAGACTTGCTTGGACAAGTTTCTTTATAATAATAATAAATTTACAAATCACAAATTTAAATAGATTTAAAGTTAAAGTGTGCTTTGTGTGAAAATATGTTTTAAGTAAGTGCCCAATAATGTTTTATATATTAAAAGTGGTTTAGGCTTATTCATAAATATTTTGACAAACTGTTGGCATAATTCTAATTAAATATATTTTTTGCTTACATTGTAATATTTATTCAAGTCCAAAACACTTTTTAATACATGAATTAATCACTTTAAACATTAAATTTAAATTATATTGTTTTGAGGTTAGAATTGTTAAACATCAAACTTGACAGTTGTTTTTAGATTAAAAATGTCTGTTGTGACAGGTTTATTTTTAAATGTGTTTCAAAATAGTTAATTAATTAAATAAATGTTTAATAATCAAGTAGAATAGTTCCAATTTTATGCGTTTTTTCTTACTTTATTATTATTATTCAAAATCAGAAATATTTCAAAAGAGTGAAGTAATTTTTGTTATTGTTCAAACAAAAGGTGTGTTATTTATACAAAGAAATTAGTTTTTAGATGATGTTCTTTGAAAAATATATTAGTATATTTTCTTTTGTGTTAATAATAGTTATTATAAGTGCAGTTGTTATTAATAATTCAATATTTACATCATAAATGGGTCGAAAAATATTTATATGCTCTTTGTAAGTAATGGTTTTCTTTTAAATCCTAAGTGCCATTACTAATTAATAATTGATAAAATTAAAATTATTTGTATTATATATTGAATTAATTTTAATATAACGAGTTTGATGTATTCTAGTAGTTTGTCTGCTTTAGGACCAACATTTTTCAATAAAATCGCCATTTTAAGAACAAAAATATTCTTGAATTTTTACAAAAACCACTTTCTTCCCATAATATTTATGAAAGACACGTAAAAAGTATATTGATAGAATAATTGTCATAATTATTATAATTATAGAATGATAGATGGCTTTTTCGTTTGTAACTTTTAAATAGTGTATCTAATGTCAATGAAATATTTAAGAAATTTACACAAAATTAAATTACCTATATTTTTTATAAAGCAACTCTGTATACTTTAAAATGTTATTCAAAAGAAGAATAATGATTTTAGCTAACAGTACAATTATGTTTTATAATATTTATAAATCATCAACCATATTGAATCCATGGACAGATTTTTTCTAACACATTTTACTCAATTTGAATAACTTTTTTACATTTTTCCAAAGAATTTCGAAATTTTGTTTTAGAAAATTTACTAAAATTTCGTATAAATTATTATATGCACTTGTATATCAAAATTTTGAATAATTTGTAGTTGAAGCGCAGATTTGAGTTTGATAGCAATATGTGGATTCGGGACATTTTTTTACATTTCTTCAAATAAGTTAGAAATTTTGTATCGAATATTTTTGTTTATTTATTTTAATGGAAAATAGATAAAATTTACTAACAAATAGTATAAATTGTTATATATACTTGGATATCAACATTTTGAATAATTTGTAGTTGAAATGCGAATTTTCGTTTCCGTTGAGATTTGAGTCGATTGAATAATTGGCTATAGGTGGATTTTGGACGTTTTTTTACATTTTGTTAAATAACTTTAAAATTGTGCCCTGAATATTTTTATTTGTATAAATCAGTATAAACTAGATAAAATTGACTAACAAATAGTATAAATTGTTTTATATACTTGCATATCAAAATTTTGAATAATTTTCAGTTGAAACTCAAATTTAAACATAATATATAGATTTGGGACTTTTTCTACTTTTCTTCAAATAGCTCTTAATTTTCTTTTCGGACAATTTAATTTATTTACATTAGTAAAAACTATATAAAATTTACTAGAGCTTAGTACAAACTAGTATATATACTTGGATACTAAAATTTCGTATCATTTTTAACTATAACACGAATTTGTGTCTGTGTACATTTTATCAAACAACTTGAAAATTTTGTTCTAGGCATTTTAATTTATTTATATAAGTAAAAAATAGATAAAATTTAGATTTATAAATCATAAACCATATTAAAAGCAAAGACTGCTATTCATGCTTTTGTTGAAACTACATTGATGATATCAAATTATTCGATTATAATAAATGATTTATTTGAAGTTGAACCCATGAATACTATCTATGGATTGTTTTAAGAGCTTTTTTTTAACTTTGGAAATGATACGAGTATTAGTTTTCGATTAACATAAATGATATGTACCAATTATTCAAATGTTTTTATTTTTTTCACCGAGTTTTTGTGGTTTTACTTTCAAATAAATATTCAAAGCTTACTTATTGTTACTAGTCTGGTATTAAGTAACAAATAATCTTATTTTAAAGTATATCCTTAGAATGAATATTTATTCTTATTACAGGTACTTATGCACTTATGGAACAGAACCATAAATCTGGGTCTCCCCTATACTAAAGGAAATTTATGATCAAAACTTATTGACAAAGTTTTTGGATGATTTTTATTAGGCCAAGGAACGAAATTATCCTGTTTGATGAGCTTTCAGGGCGTGTACCACTAAAAAAACAACAAACTTTGGTTGCAACATCGGAATTTTAGCAAAAAAATAGATTTGTTTTCGCTATTTTGGAAATTTTTTACTGATTCCAAAAGATTTCGGACGCTGATTTCAGAAATGCTATCTATTTTTGGGATAAACCCACACACCCCGCGAAAAATCGAAATCTTTGGTTGCAAAATCGATTTTTTTTTAAAAAATCGGCTTTTTTTTCGCGATTTTCAAAATGTTTTGATTGGTTTTGATTGATTTTGGGACGCTGATTTCGAAAATATTATCCGTTTTTGGATAAATCCACATACACCCCCCGAAAATCGAAATCTTTGGTTGCAAAATCAAAATTTTACTAATGAAATTAAATTTTTTTTTCGCGATTTTCAAAATGTTTGACCGATTCTGATAGTTTTCGAGGCGCTGATTCCGAATATGAAATCAGTTTTTGGAAAAAAATTCTTCTGCCCTTGGTACCAAATTGAAGTTTGAAAAATTGCCAACTTTGAAGCTGATTTTAACTATGAAACGATGATAAATTTGTATTTTTTTTGGTTTGGTATAAAGATTGTACTTTAGTCTACACAAAGCATTAATTAAAATTATTAATTTCATTCATTAAGTGCCTTAAAATTGCATTTGAAAGTCACGATTTTGGCCAATTTG